GACTTATTTTTTATATATATATATATTTTTTTTTTTTTTCTTTCAAAACCCATTTGCTAGGCAGTGGTATTTTTCTTTTCATTCACATTTTCATCAGTTCCAATAGTCCCATAATACAGGAATGTTGTGCCTGGAGAGAGCATGCAGCATTCAACTTACTGTACCTAGAGGCAGAGTACATTGCTGTATACAAATAAATTATAATACTAAACAATCTATTATGTATGTAATTCATACAGTTCATGCTTCTTGCATGAAAAGAACTCTAAGCAATTCTGACTCAGTGAGAATCAGAGTTAAGAACAAGTGTACGTGGTGAAAAACATAGAAGAATGTAACTTTCTTCCAGAGTGTTAGGTATTTTAATTTTAAGCACTGATGAGGGTGTGAAAATGCTATTGTTATCTTGCTCTTTCAGAGCAAGTTGTTCCTTTTTGAGTCAAACATACCTGTTTTATTTCAGACCTACCACTGCTCTAGATACTGTATGTTTCTCCATTTAGTTGCAATAGAGAAACTATTTGTGGGGGGAATAAAAATTATTTATGTCGTGAAGAAGAACAAGCAGTTTTTGCAGAATGTCCTAATATAAAACTGCTTTTAAAACTTAGCAAAAAGACAAAGGTTTTAGCAGCTTTACCTACATGAGTTCAAATACAGAAAGGATCTCAGAATAGTTTCTCTGTGCAATGGTCCTTTTATAGCAGAGTGAGGCTGTGGGAGTTTTTTGGTCTTTTTTAAAAGACTTCAGAACAATAATTTCTCTCCTGCTATTATTTTGGTTAATGTCAGTTTGGAAGAGGGATAGCTTCCTCCTCAACAGGGTACTAGGGTAATAATAATTTAGAGTAATCCTTCCAGGAATCATGCAAACTAGAATGGTATTGGAAAGCCATCTCTTCCAACTTCCATTTAAAAAAAAAAAAATTGCACCACATTTTTCAGTATGAACAACTACTACTGAGTGAATGAGAACTCTGCTGCAGAAGTCTTAGCTTTATAAAATTCCTTTATGCTCTGTCTCTGAAATTTGTGAGTAACAGGCAAGTAACTTTATAACAACTGTTTTCTTTCTGCCCCTGGAGTTTAGCCCAGTGTGGCCCAGTCTGCTTTATGTTGGCCTACTAAGTCTTAAATATCGGATGTTTGATAGAGCCTGCCTTCTTCCAGGTACAAGCAAGGTCAGATCTCTTGGTGATATAAAATAAACACAAGTACTCACTTCTGTTAAAAATGCCATTGTCCATGTTAGTGAGACATCCAGAACTACAGTAGTCTATCTTTTAATGTGGCAGTTCACAAAGCCTATTAGTGCGCATGTCCATATCTGACTAACACACCATAAAACTTTCTTTTTGCCCTTGTGAAATGTTACTTCTCAAGGAGGGAGGAGGGTAGAGGGCAAAATAATGTGTATGAGAACATATACCAAAAGCAAGGCAGTTGGCTGTTCTCACAGATGGTAAGATCAGGAGGAAAAGGTGCACCTGAATCTCATACTCAGTAAAACGTTTGGTTCTCAGGTTGCTAAGGAATAAACTCCTGCCAAAAACTCATACTGCACAAAGAGTAAGAGGAGTAATTTCAGCTGTGTAACAACTCAGGTCAGTCTTTGTGTTTCTTCACTTCAACATTTTCACTTTAAAATTTATAAAGGTTCAAAAGCTTTAAAGACTTTTTTTTTTTTAAAAAAAGTGCCTTAAGTGGGAGCTCTGGCACTAATTATTTTGTTTTTGAAAGTTGTGCATCCTTTTTGTGTTTATACATGATCCTTATTTCAATTTAAGAAGTGTCCAGCCCTTATGTCACCGATATATAATGCCTATCTTTAAGATGGAAAGGACGTGAAGCGCATGGGGTTGTGCTGTCTGTCCTGCTTCTGCCCTACTCCCCATAGAACTAGTCATCTTATAATATAAAACTTTAGCTAAATTTGGTAATTGCAACAAGGCTGCCTACAAGTGTGGGTACTGGAAACTAGATAGCAAAGAGAAATCTAAATTAGCATTCTTATCGACCAAGTTTACAGTGCAGCCTTCCCCTTATCTCTTGTGTTTGCTCTGGTGCCTGGGCAATCAATGCACCTGTGGACTTTTGCCCAGCCAGGGGTGAAAGGATAGGAGGGAGCCTGCAAAGGAATGGACAGAGCTCTACAACAACTGGGCTATTCATGCAACTTTTAGGTTTTTTTATTTAAAAAAAAAAAGTCTACAGTTAGTGCTGCTACTTGCTGGTTCTGAAGCTACAATTAAAGCAGAGTATTATGAAAATAAGGCAAAGAACAGCTGGGATGGTGGGAAATGAACCCTATCACTGTATTGTTCTTTAACACTCAAAGTAAAGGCTTATTTAATTGCATGAACAGTCAGTTCTGCGGCTGCAGCTAACCCCTGCATGCAAAGCTGTGGCTGCCCACAGTGTGCTGAGAGGTTGGGGGTTGCACGAGTACTTTACTGTAGCACTAGAAGAGAGCTAACAGATCGCTTCACCAGCTGCAGCCCTGGTACCACCTGGTGGCCAACTGGCAGAATTTCTCACTGGTTGCGTGGCCGCTTGTAGTGCGGAAACCTTAGTCTTTTCTTCCTGCTTTACGCTCCTGCCTGCACAGGCAGGATGAGAAAGAATAAGCGTATGCTGGAAGAAAAATGGGTTTAGTCATTAAGTATCCTCTTCTCTCAGCACAGCACTATGTAAACACAGCTCTTGCACTCAAGCAATTAACTCCCCCTGCCAAACGTGGCTTAGATTAAACCTTGCCCTTGCGTAGTCTTGTCTTCACCAGAAAGTTGTGGGCAGAGGAGAGGGAAAAGGGTGTGTTAATTCAAGGTAAAACCCTACTGAGGCATGCATATTTTTAAGCAAGCTTGGGCTAGGTTAACGCTGGCACTCAGAGTAA